CGCGGATCCATTATAAAGTCCGATTACGAGCACGTAGCCCTTTGACCTTTGGGAGCATTTGCCACCAGGCATGCTTTCAGCAAAATGTTGGTTCGAGTTGACGATTCAGGGTTCCGGGTCTCAGGGTTCGTTTGTAGTTTGCGGGGGGTCTGTGCCCAAAGAGCCCAATACCCCTTAAATCAAGAGACATACCTCAAATCATATAGGGACCCTCAATATGATTTGAGGTATGTCCCCCTAAACTTCAAACCCCAAACCCCTAAACCCTACGTTCCTCAAGTAAGGGTCTCGGAGGGCTCTTTGCGTGCGTGTGTCGGGGTGGACAGGAGCGATACTGCTACCCTGTTGGTGCCCTCCTCGGTGGCGTTGCCTCTCGCCCGCACTGTGCTGCATCACTTTTTTCCCCAAACCCCAAACCCCAAACCCTAAACCCTAAACCCTAAACCCTAAACCCTAAACCCTAAACCCTGAACTGCTCGTGAGTTTTTATCCTTGGGTGTTCCACCCGAAGCTGCCCTGCGCCCTATACTCTTGTTCCTTAGGGTTTAGGGTTTAGGGTTTAGGGTTTAGGTTTTAGGGTTTAGGGTTTAGGGTTTAGGGTTTAGGGTTTAGGGCTTTTAGCCCGACAAACCCTATAAAACCCTGGTAAGGCCTGTAATTTAACCCTATCAACCCCGCAAGCCCTGCCAGGCACGTAAACTTCATAAACCCTTTAAACCCTTGAAGCCCGAAACACCCTCGAAACCCTAAACCCTAAACTTAGGAGCCGCCGGCTCAGGCCGCCGACCCAAGAGGCCCTAAACCTCTCAACGCCCAAAGCTCAAATCCCCCCAACCCGAAGCCCTTAAAAAACTCTGCAAGTTGTTTTGGGGGCAAGTGTCTTGGTTTAGCTGTTTTTTTTGGGAGGGGTTGGGTGGGGGTGGGGGTAGAGGGTGGAGGGTGGAGGGTGGAGGGGGTGGGGTGGGGGGGGGGGGGGGTGGTGGGGGGGGGGGGGAGTGAGGGGGGGGGGGGGGGGGTGGGGGAGGGTGGGGGGGGTTTGGGTGAACACGCCGCCAGGGTCGGCGGACACTAAAAGGTTGATGCCAAGGTTACGCTGGGCCGTGTGAGGCCCGCGCGCTCACCTCCTAAGCCTACGATGCCCCTTGAGGGCGTAGAGTGCAGGGTTTTGGGTTTAGGGTTTAGGGTTTAGGGTTTAGGGCTTGCAGCGCAGAATTATCGAGTGGTTTTACGGCCCCTTAACCCCCTGCCCTGGACTCCGTGATGATCGCCTCCGGCATCGCCTTTAGGGTTTAGGGTTTAGGGTTTAGGGTTTCCGGCCGAGCGCAGGTTTGATACGATTCTTTTGAGGACGCCCTTGCACTTTTCACAAGGATCGTGATCCTTGCTGTCGGGGTTTGGGGTTTCGGTTTTAAGGAGTTGGGAATTCTAAGCCGAGACCCGCTAGAACCCCGAACCCTAAACCCTAAAAACCCTAAAAACCCTAAACCCCAAACCCCAAACCCTAAACCCTAAACCCCAAACCCTAAACCCTAAACCCATGTCTTTCGGCAACCGTGAGGTGGGTTTCTGCAATGAGTACATCAGAGACCAAGAGGAGCCCCGGGCAGAGCCGCGGCCACACGCGTAGATGGTCTAGGGTTTTTAGGGTTTAGGGTTTAGGGGTTCAGGGTTCAGGGTTTAGGGTTTAGGGTTTCAGGGTTTCAGGGTTTAGGGTTTTTAGGGTTTAGGGTTTCAGGCGGGTTTAGGGTTTAGGGTTTAGGGTGTAGGGGTTTCAGGGTTTAGGGCTTTCGGGTTTTCGGGTTTTGGGGTTTAGGGGTTTAGGGGTTTAGGGCTTCGGGTGCGCTGTAATTAAGGTTTATAGGGTTGAGTGTTCGGGTCTCAGTCTTTAGGGTTGAGGGAGTAGTGTTGGGCTTAGGACCAGGGACGGGCCAAACGTGTCAGGTGGGGCTCCAGGGTGTTTAAACATGTTGAAGAAGTTGTTGCCAAGTGTTTAAACAGTCTTCCAGGCAATTCTTGGCCCAAGATTGGTACTCTGCACAAATCCCCGAGCTGAAACTTTGAGAGCCTAAACCGTGTGACCCCAAAGCCCCAAACCCGCAAACCACAAAACACATACTCTTTGCAGCCACTCTGTCTTTATGTTTAAACACATGTTTAAACACGTGTGCGTTTAAACATTTGACAGTTTAAACCGTTTAATGTTCAAACCACGTTTAAACAGTCAGCTTAAACCGTTTAAACTTGGGAACCGCAAAGGCGCTGTGTGTTTGAACATTGTGCGCCGAAAGTTTAAACCGTTTAAACACAGACCCCCGCCCAACCCTGCTTAGCGCTTTAAACTTAGGGCCATGCAGTTTAGGGGGGGTCAGTGCTTACAGGGTCTTTTCTCGGTTCGGACCTCATGCTTGCTCCACTGAACCCCAAAATTAAAACAAAAAAAGCCTTCTCCCCGAACCGCCTTAAACTCTGAATCCTGAACCCTCATCCTGGAGCCTTAAACCCTAAACCTTGAAAGACCATGGTCTTTGTTGTGTCCGGCCCTCTTGTGACCGTGAGATGTAGGAAGCTCAGTCTTGGGTTTCGCGTTTAGGGTTTAGGGTTTAGGGTTTAGGGTTCAGGGTTTAGGGTATTGGGTTTAGGCTTCATATGAAGCGACCCAGGATCAGTGCTAAGTTGCTAGCGCGCGCCAAAAATGCAACCTAAGCTATAGACTCTGCAGGAACGTCCATCTACAGTAGTAGAGTAACAGATGCTTTACGTTTCACTCGGGGGGGATTTCTAAATGTCTGTGGGTCCTAGAACTTAATTTTGAAGGGATCCCCCAATCCCCCTTTTTGTTTAGGGTCTAGGGCTTCTCCTGTCTCTTTGTTTGCGTTCAGGGTTGATCGGAAAAGTGACCCGGATTGGGGTACTAGGACCCAGAGTTGGCCCTCACTTTCTTTCGTTTAGGGTATGGGCTGGTGCCCTTTTGATTCCTACTTGAAGGTTCATGGTACTTACTAACCAATTAGAACTGGGCTTATAACCCTACTTATAATTGGGATAACCCCTATAAGGCCCTTTAGGGGTATTATAAGTAGGGTTATAAGTACAGTTATAATTGGTTAGGAAGTACCATGAACCTTCAAGTAGGTTACTCTGGGTCTAGGGTGGTTCATCTTGCTGGGCGGGAGGGCACTTGTACCAGATCGGGGCTAGTATGGCAAGTCCGTCCCCCCTGCGCGATTTCGATTCGCCGGCGCGCTTGGCTCGCAGCTTCTCGATGTTATGAGCCGAGCAAGATCTCAACAAGAGTTGCCCCACTTGTGGTTACCCTAAGCCCCAAACCGTAAACCCGATACACCTTTGCTACTCAAAAGCCTTCCGGCTGCAACCTACCATCCGAACGCGAAGAGACGCGCGGCATTCTCTTAAAGGAACCGGGCTCCAGACGACGAACCCCCCTGAAATAAGAGCGGCCTGAGGGCCTAAACCACAGAAGTGCAACCCCAGACTCTGAAAACTCAACCCTAAGTATCTAAGGGGCCCCCTTTTTCAGGGCCCATAACTGAGCGACCATGGAACTACACTTAAGACACGCGTGAAGTCCCAACTTCGCAGCCCGAAGGTTCAGGGTTTAGGGTTTAGGGTTTAGTAGGTTTAGGGTTTAGGGTTTAGGGTGTAGGGTTTAGGGTTTAGGGTTTAGCGTCTGTGGCCCGCATCGGGGATGTCATGGGCACAACCGCCTGCTCCGTCTCGCGAAGACTGGATGGAAAGGAGTGCCAGCCATGTGGGGCACAAGGCCTAAACCCTAAACCCTAAACCCTAAACTTGAAGGGCTTGGTGGTTTAGGGTTCTGGGGTTTAGGGCTTCAGGGGCGTCTTTTTTTTTGAAGGGGGGGGGGGGGGGGGTATAGGGTTTAGGTGTTTAGGGGTTGAGGATTCAGGGGTTTTGGGCATACTGGAGTTGATTTGGAGACAATGCTCGGTTTTCTATGGCCCCCTAGATAACCCCTCTGTAACCCGGTCAGATTTCCATTTTGTAGGGCGCGACTCGACAACAAACCCTGCAAGCCCATAAGCCCTGTAAAGCACATAAACCCTGGCAGCCCTATAAAAAATATGTAATCTCCAAGACTTAGCCCAGCAAGCCTTGAACGTGAACCCTGAACCCTATTAGTCCCAACCTCTCGCTAGATTGCCGCGCGGCGCTGGAGAGAGACTTTACTACGGACTGCCGGGCGCACAGCGAGAGCAAGCCCTAAACCCTAAACCCTAAACCCTAGGTCTTCCTTGGGCGGGTTGTGGGACGCAGAGTTTTTGAGATGTGATGGGATCTTTTTGGGGTCGTTTACTACAATATGTCCTAAACCCTAAACCCCTCAGCCCTAAACCCTAAAACCCTAAACCCCAAACCCTAAACCCCAAACCCTAAACCCTAAACCCTAAACCCTAAACCCTAAACCCTAAACCCTAACCTTATAACCCCTAAACTGTGCTCGCTGAGGTATGCACCCCGGCCTTGCCCAGGATACCAGTGCGCAGCGCCTGCAGTTCCTTGCAAAGGCAAGGCGCCACTGACCTGGAGCCCTAAACCCTAAACCCTAAAAACTAAACCCTAAACCCTAAACCCTAAACCCTAAACTGAGGGCTTCGGTGCTCTATAGGGACTTAATGCCTTGAGGCTGTGGGGCTCACAAGGCGCAAGGCAACAAGGCAGGAAGGGCGACCCAAGTCTACTTCCCACACCCCCCCCCCCCCCCCCCCCCCCCCCCCCCCCCCCACTCTCCAGGGCCTCGTTGAGCGGTACACTACTTGGTTTCAGCGTTTCGGGGGTTTGCAACGATCTTAGATCCCCAGCTAAACGCCCTACAGCCTAAAACTTGTAAACTTATGTCCATGGGCCTTTCCCCACAGGTCAAGCTCTTCCAACGGCTACCCGTGGAGCAGCATAGCGTCCTCGCATCAGCCGCGGCCCAAGCAAACATCTCAACCCAAAACCCTAAACCCTAAACCCTAAACTAAACCCTAAAATTAGGAACCAGTAGAAGGAAGGGACCTAGGCTTACGTAAGGCCATACCCCCTGAATGAACCGCTGCGCACTTGGAGCTGTCCCTGCAAAGGAGGTTGGGAGTTAGTCCTCCCGTCCCCCCTAAACCTAAATCCTAGCCTATTTCACACAGCCGGCTTTCGCGGTCGAAGGCCGCAATGCTTACCGTGGCACAACTTTGTTCCGCGCTCGTCGATGGTTCTGGGTTTAGGGCTTGAGTTTCCCTACTCCCCCCCCCCCCCCCCCCCTCCCTATCCTACCCCCCCCCTAGGTTCCCTCTTCAGGCTGCCATTCTGTATCAGGAGTCCGATTTGATGTCAGATTTATTTTGCCCCGCGGAGGCTTGCAAAGTGGTCAAGTTTAACGATGAGGCCTGGTGTTTGGTTCTGGGTTTAGGGTTTAGGGTTTAGGGTTTAGGGTTTAGGGTTTAGGGTTCTGGGGTCATGGCTCAGGACTGAGGGCCTTGGGGCTTTCGGTTGCCGGTGCATGTGGAAAACGCGGAGCGTGGGGTGTTGGAGTTACGTGGCGGTTCATGGGTACTTATAACCCAATTATATCCACGTTAGGGCACTTAAGGGGCTTGTAAGTGGGTTAGAAATCCAGTTATATCTGGGCCAGAAGTACCATGAACCTCCAGGTCGATCTCAACAGGGGCTTTGGGATTTTGAGGGCCTTCCGAGATCACCGCAGAGAGTTCTCGGATTCTAGGTTTGGGGGGAGGGGGGGGTTTAGGGTTTAGGGTTTAGGGTTTAGGTTTTTTGTTTGTTTTTTTTTTTTTTGGGGGGGGGGGGGGCTGAATTCATGGACCCCCTTGTGACCCCGATTCTCTCGGCTCTTGAAGGACCCACACTCGAAGAGCCTAAAACCCCTTAAATAAGGAAATAAGCCTTTCATGATTTGTTTTCAAGGAGCCCTCTATCGTTTAAGGTATATTTGCTGATTGAAGGGGTATTGGTATTGGGCTCTTTGGGCGTCCCCCAAAAAAGACGTGTATTCTTGAGCCCCACTTGGAGGTTCATGGTACTTCTTAACCAATTATAACTGTACTTACAACTGTACTTCTAACCATATTAGGGCACCTAAGGGGCGTATAAGTACAGTTATAAGTACAGCTATAATTATGAACCTCCAAGCCCTAAACCCTAAACCTTAAACCCTAAACCCTAAGCCCCGTGGAGAGGTGATCATCCATCAAGGCGAGGAAGGAGACGAGCTCTTCGTGATCCAGGACCCCAGCACCAACACCAACCCCGCCCGAAATAAACACCTAAACACTAAACCCTAAACCCTTAACCCTAAACCCTTCGTCACTTCAGATGTCAGCTACGGTGGTGGGAGGGGGGCGGGGGGGTGGGGGGTGGTGGGAGGGGGTGCGGGGAGTGAGCGGGGGGGAGGAGGTCAGAGGCAGGGCAACCCTCAATCTCAATCACGAACTCTTTTCCCCGAAAGGGTAGAACAGACCCTTAGTCTTATTCCCTGTATCACTCCTGTATATACCTGATATAGTCACTATAGTCCCTGTAGTCCCTGTAGCTCCAATGTAAGGTCCCTAAATCCTTAAACCCTACGCATTTCCTTCTTGCGGGGTTTAGGGCTTCTGAGGGTCCGCAGTAGATCCCTAGAAGCAAAGAAACAACAGTACCGATGCCCTGTTCACATGTCCCGAGGCTACTGCGGGACCAAGGTCATGTCGTTCTCAAGGGCCCCACGTACCGAAGTGATGTCTTTTTTGAGAAAGCTGGAAGCTGCTTGTGGGAACCCGTATGGGTTTAGGGTTCAGGGTTTAGAGTTTAAACCCTGGGCCCTGAGGGACTGCCCACTTTAACACCAAATCAGCTGCAGGAAGGTGAAGCAGAAGTCCTGCTGGGTGACAAGCCTGTGGCTGCTTGGCTTGGCCACGCATTTGGAGAACGTCCAAAGTTGTGCTGTTTTTGGGTTTAGGGTTGAGGGTTTAGGGTCTAGGGTTTCTCTTTATCGATGCAGGGGGGGGGGGGGGCAGCGGCAGGTAGGGAGGTATAGTATAGCAGAAGGTCAGCATCAAGTCCGAAGGCAGCTCGACACTTTCTCGGGTTTTTGCGCTTCGGAAACACACCACCTAAGCCCTCAGCCCCAACACGCCAATCCAGCGCACCCCGAAGGCGCGAACCCCAAAAGGCCCTACCCCCCTGACCCCCTAAACCCCACAAACCCGAAAAAATATAATCCCTATTAAGGACTGTTAGTTGAAGGGCGAAGAACATCCCAAGTTTCAACCCCCTTAAACCCCAAAGGTTGGAACCCACTGAGCCCCAAAAGGGTTTATGGCTCATATGCCTTCGGATTATTGGTAGTCTAGGGTATACGACGCCGAATTTACGGTTCATGGTTCATGTGGTCTGCAAGGAAGTAGGTACCGTTTGCGGTTTTTTAGGGTTCTCAACCCTAAACCCTAAACCCTAAACCCTAAACCCTAGGCCTCAGGGGTGCTAGGCGTCCGAGGGACGCCCATGGCTCCAAACACCCCCCCCCCCCCCCCCCGCCCCCCAAATGCCCCTAAACCTAAACCCCAAAGGATCCATGTACCTATATAGTATCTACTTGGGCCTTAAAGGGGTTCCTATATCGTAGCTTTAGGGCCCAAGTATATACTATACAGGTACATGGATCCTTTGGGTAAACGATGTGTGGTAGGCAAGGGCTTTCTGGGCGATAAGCGCTCTACTCTTGCACTTCTCAACACAGAAGCTATCAAGCCTTGACTATTGGCCTAGGAACCTCTCCCCCCCCCCCCCCCAAAAAAAAAAAAAGAGGAAAGAAAACACAGGAATAGTCTTCCTTAGAAGCGCAATATGAGGATTTTTTTTGGGGGGGTTCGCTTCAGCAAATACTAGGTATGAAGGAATAGACCTTAAATTTCATAGGGATCCTTAACATGATGAAGGGGGGGGGTTCTTAAGCAAAGAGTAGCCCTAAGCCCTAAACCCTAAACCCTAAGCTCTCAAGAGGGTTTGGGGTGCGAAGGCGGTGGGGGGTTTAGGGTTTAGGATTTAGGGTTTAGGGCTTAGGGCTTAGGCTGGGGCCATATTCTCTCACTGGGGCTTATTCAAGATCACACAGGCCTTTTTTGGGGGAAATCTGGGGCCCTTACACCCCTGCCGTCCGCCCCCCTGACCCTAAACCCTAAACCCTAAACCCTAAACCCTAAACCCTAAACCCTCAACCGATTCCTTGTGACCGTTTGCACCTTCCCAGATCCTGCGGGCCGGTGACTACTTCGGAGAGACAGCCCTGCTAAGAGACGAGCCGCCCTGGCTTTGAAGTCGGAAGAAAAGGCTTGGTAACACCAGAATAATGTGAACCCTTATTTGCCCTAAACCCTAAACCCTAACCCTAAACCCTAAACCTTAAACCCTAAACCCTAAACCCTAGACCCTAAACCCTTGGCTCCTCTTGTTGAGGGATTCTCGCCTGTCAGTATCCCGTATGCCCCTTAAGAAGGAGAACGTGCATCTGTCGGATTCTCCTGTTTTGAAATATCGAATCGGGCTTTAGGCGGCCTTAGCATTCTAGGCTTTTTTCGCGCTTTATGCTGTAAGATCAAGGGGTTAGGACTCGCACCCCTAAGGTTATAATATACTCCTAATCTTGGCCCATATACTGCCGTTAGGATATTAAACGTCCCAAAAACCTAAGGGTACAACATTAAGGGTCCGAGGTACAATCCATAGATAAGAGGCTTTGAGTAGAAGGTACCGAAGGCATGGGGAAACCTGTTTCGTGATGTTGCCCCAGAAGTCGCGCTGTGTACAGCCGTGTGTGTTTCCTTGGCAAAAGAGGCTTTGAACAACTCCTAATATGGCAATTCCCCTAGCCCTTCAAAACCTAAACCCTAAACCCTAAACCCTAAACCCTAAACCCTAAACCCTAAACCCTAAACCCTAAACCCAAACCCTAGAAACTTATCTCTGTGGCTCATTGAGATTCGGCCCCAGGCCACGGGCCGCGACGGTCCAGGCGAAGGGGCCACTCCAGGCTGGGTTTCTGTTTAGGGTTTAGGGTTTAGGGTTTAGGGTTTAGGGTTTAGGGTTTAGGGTTTAGGGTTTAGGGTTTAGGGTTTAGGGTTTAGGGTTTAGGGTTTAGGGTTTCGGGAGGGCCTGGGGTTTTAGGTTTGGGGTTTAGGGTTTCTGGGCTCAGTCTACTTAGGGCTAAATAGCGTTAATTTTTTAATTTTTTGCATGTTGTGCTGTGTCAGAATATTAATATTAGTATTATATATGTTTAAACCCTTAACCCTAAACCTAAGCCCTAAACCCTAAACCCTAAACCTTAAACCCTAAACCCTAAACCCTAAACCCTAAACCCTAAACCCTAAACCCTAAACCCTAAACCCTAAGCCTCCTGTGTGAGCCCAAGCAATGCTTCAAAAGAGAATCAGTACGATTGCCGTCGCCCGATGTTGTGACTTTAGAGCGATTCAAGTTATCCCGATAATAAGGTTCGCCCGAAGCCCCGAAGCCTCTTGTGGCCCAGAAGCCCCCTCCCTTTCTCTGACTGTGGTGACCGAGACCGATGCGATGCTCGACTGCAAGGTTTAGGGTTACGGTTTAGGGTTAGTTCAGGGTTGCCGAAGCTCCCCAACCACAGGTCCTGCTCCCCCTTAAAGACCAAAAGAGCCCTATAACAAATACACCCCTGGCCCTTCGAACCAAGCCCGACCTGTTATTAGCACGTAGTACATAGTCCTAGTACATAGTCCGAACAGGCCTGTTTCAGAACCAGGACCAAGCCCGACCTGAAAAGTCCGAACAGACCCCTTTAAACTTAGTACCAAGCCCGACCGGTTTGTCTAGCCCTTAAACCGTTAACCCCGAACCCTAACTAATCCGCCCAGGCGCCATGTCCGATTGCTGCCAGGACCCGCAGGTGTGGTGGCGAGCTACTGGAGATGAGGTGCTGGGCCCGAAAGGGACCATGTGGCCCGAAAGGGCTTGAGGCTGTCCGTTGAGGACGCCTTTGGGGCTGGGGCTGTTCGAAAGAATGCCCCAGCCTCTTGCCCGATGAGGGCTGGGGCCGTCCGTTCACTGAGGATGGCCCCAAACCCCCCCTCCCCTGGGGGCCCGGTAATCTAGTCTAACCTGTAACTAGGCGGCCCGAGAAGGGTCCTGCAGCCCGAAAGGGCGGCCACTTTGACTGATGACTCGGTCATTGTGTAAAGGCTCAAGGCTCGCCCGTAGTGAAAAAATAGGACCGTTGAGGCTCGCATACTAACTAGCGCCATTTTAGTCTGTCTAAAGGCCCAGAGGAAGTGCGTGATCCGAAAGAGCGGTGGAGAACGAAAGAGAAATGAGATTGTCTGATGAAGACCCGCTCTAGATCACGCTTAGGTGTCCAAAGTAGGTCGGACGCAGAATGCTCGACTCGGATACTGCGTGGTGGTGCGTGCCCTTCTCCGTGATGCCAGTGCCCGAATGGCTCCCTGACACAGGGGGTGGGACCGTGCTTGCACGTCCCGGCATTGTCACTCGGGGTCGGAAAATCGCATCTCCCAGAAGCCCGACTCGAGTTCTGAATCCTGGCCGAAACGGAATGTAACGATAGGCGAATGCTGCCCAGCCCCCTTGTGCTGCCCGACTGAGGCTGTTTGGAGGACCGACCTCTGACCCTGACCGTCGTTTTGGCCCGCAACCCTAAGGCCCTAATTTAATAGGGTTCATGAAAGACAGTGTAATAAGTTTTAAAACTGAAAGACTGTCCAATAAGTTTTAAGATAGGTTTAGGGGTTGACGGGCAGTGGTCAGCTGGTTGCTGTCACGCCGAAAGGGACACAGGAGATCGAAGGGCATTCAACCAGGTATTGCAGTCAGAGAGATAGACAGCTCGGCCTTGAGTGCATCGCAGGGTCAGCTGATTGAGTTAAAGTTGGCAGAGACAGCTTGACTGTAAACGGACCGAAACCCTAAACCTGGACCTTAAGCCATAATGAGGCTCTTTAAGGTCTGCGTGTACATGAGTAGGCCGACCATTGCGACTGTGTGCAGCTAAGGAAATGCATGGCCCGACCATACGCCTACGCCTGACACACAGCAGGACGAAGCCGCTCGTCATTGAATAGTATTTAAGTAAGGCGAAAATGAGTAGGCCGACCATTGCGACTGTGTGCAGCTAAGGAAATGCACGGCCAGACCATACGCCTACGCCTGACACACAGCAGGACGAAGCCGCTCGTCATTGAATGGTATTTAAGTAAGGCGAAAATGAGTAGGCCGACCATTGCGACTGTGTGCAGCTAAGGAAATGCATGGCCAGACCATACGCCTACGCCTGACACACAGCAGGACGAAGCCGCTCGTCATTGAATGGTATTTAAGTAAGGCGAAAATGAGTAGGCCGACCATTGCGACTGTGTGCAGCTAAGGAAATGCATGGCCCGACGCCTACGCCTGACACACAGCAGGACGAAGCCGCTCGTCATTGACTGGTATTTAAGGCGAAAATGAGTAGGCCGACCATTGCGACTGTGTGCAGCTAAGGAAATGCATGGCCCGACCATACGCCTACGCCTGACACACAGCAGGACGAAGCCGCTCGTCATTGAATGGTATTAAGTAAGGCGAAAATGAGTAGGCCGACCATTGCGACTGTGTGCAGCTAAGGAAATGCATGGCCCGACGCCTACGCCTGACACACAGCAGGACGAAGCCGCTCGTCATTGACTGGTATTTAAGGCGAAAATGAGTAGGCCGACCATTGCGACTGTGTGCAGCTAAGGAAATGCATGGCCCGACCATACGCCTACGCCTGACACACAGCAGGACGAAGCCGCTCGTCATTGATTATATTATTAAGTAAGGCGAAATTGTCTATATTAAATTTAGTAAACTACAAGGTTCCTTTAATGTAGTGGTGAGTGTATATTATATGGGGTGTCCATTTGGGGGTACAAGATATAAACCCTGTTTACCGTGTTTCATGTTGATTCGATACATAACAACTGTCCATACTAGCCGCTGTAATGCCAAGGTCCTCCATCCTGGTGGTTCTTGTTGCTCCCGTTCAAGACCGAGGCAGAGCTGTGAGTTTTAAACTCGCAATTTCATGACTGATGATTCCAGAAATTTTGTAGATTACTATTAGTTCGTGATGGTCTCATTGAGAGGACGCTGCCTGGCACAACGTCCGTGCAGTGTCGCCAGATCCTGTCTGATCGACGAGGAACGGCTGTTCATTGGCCGTTGGTTGTTGCCCCACGAGTAGGCTAGTTGACATGCAGCCAAGGCCTTGAACCGCGGTCACCCCTGCTGCACGATGTGATCTTCCAAGGCCCGTGACTTTGCTTGACACTGCTTGTCGTCCTGAGATTGCGGTCGGGCTGAGACAGTGTTGCTGCGCCACGCATCACGCACGATCCCCTCAGAACGAAGGTTCAAGCGTCCGGCTGGCTTCAAGTGTCGAAGTCACAGTGACAGACAGTTCCATGACACGTGACTGACAGTAGTAGCCACGTGACAGACTAGTACTCAGTTGGCAGCCTTGAAGTCAAGTGGCAGCAGCTCAGACCGTAGCAGCTTTGAAACAGTAGCCGGACCGTAGCAGCCTTGATTGAATTGGCAGCTGGGTCGAAAGCCATGTCAACTCGTCGTGGGGTTCCAGCAGATGCGGCCGAAAGGAAAAGACTGGAAAAGCTCGCCATTACGTTTGGTGTGTTGGCCGGGGACCCCCAGGCGCTCCCAGATGATTGAATAATGTGCGCAAATTCAGGCCTAAACCTTAAAGCCTATAATTTGCTCGTGAGGCCCAAGCCCGACTTGGTGAAGAAGCACGTGAAGCCTACATGAACTCCGCGTACTACTCGCCCGTCGGAGATGGGGACCTCAGCAAGGCCGACGACTTTCAGTGCTGGTTTGGGGGGGGGGGGGTCTGGGGTGTCAGGGTTTACGATTTAAGGGTTTAAAGTTTAACAGCGACAGGTCAAGACCGCTGTGGGCGAGAAGGCGCCCCACCTGGAGTATTTGTGCCAGGTGCTCCGGTGCGATGATTTGAGCTGGTGCGTGTCTGGGATGGCATGCAAGGGGGGAATGTCCGTCAAAGTCAGACAGACTTCTGACTATTAACCTTGAGTGACTTCAATTCTACCTGTCATCTGAGTCGATCTCCGCGTTGCTGCACCACTCGCCGCTTGGGGCATCGTTCGCGCATGCCCTGACGCCGAAGCTCGTCCGACAGGCTGCTTGTCCAGACTGTGACCTGTAAACGACAGTTTGAGAATGTTAGGGTTTAGGGCGGTTTTAGGGGTGCGGGTTTAGGGTCGGTGTAGGGTTTAGATGATAGGGTTTAAGGGTTAATAAATAAGGGTTGAGGGTTTGGGGTTTAATAAGTGTTTAGGGTTTAGGGTTAAGTTACTGCCCAATCCCGGATGCAAAAGGGTTTAGCGTTTGGGGTTGCTGTGACCCAGGTTCTGTTCCACCGACGTGGGTACAAGATCAAGAAGAACCGCAAAAATCCCTCCGCCTTGATCGCAACCCACTGCCGCGAGAAGATCCACCATCTCAGCCTTCTGGCAGCACTTGGTTCGATTCTTTTCAATTCTGTGATCCGGCCTGCCCTGCGTGACAGACTTGCTGCTTCGTGCTGACTAAGATAAGACGATGCCCGGCGGACTTGGGTGGAGTGGAAAGGTGGACAGAAAGGCCCAGGCCGAGGATGAGGCTGAGGGCGGCGAGTCCGAGGAGTCCGGGTCCGACGAAAATGAGGACGAGGCTGGGTGGACGGGAACTGTGGCGCGGTGCTTGATCAGTGTGACAGAGCACAAACTGCGTGTTCCCGCATTCCTGTAGCCAGGAGATCGACCCGGACGAGGAAGGGCGTGACAACGAGCCCGGACAGCCGTCGGAGTTTCCGGGCGAGAAGCCAGCCTGCAAGGCCCCGCCCGACTTTGACAAGATGGAAGCAGCTCAAAAGGCTGCCGCTCAGGCCGAAGCCACCCCCGAAACCACCCAGGCCGAAGCCACCCCCGAAGCCACCCAGGCCGAAGCCCAGCCCGCCACCGAGGCCGAAGCCCAGCCCGCTGCCAAGGCCGAACAGCCCGCCGCCAAGCCCAAAGGCAAAGGACAGCCCACAGCACAGGGCGACACGGTGGAGGTGAAGCCAAAACCGCCCGCCGTGCCCGTCGTCCAACCACCGCCACCCAAGGTGGCAGGCTCGCGTGGAATTCAGTTTGTTTTATTAAGTTTAAATGAATCAAATGCACGGATGTGAATCTGAAGGACCGCCGGCCGACACTATCCAGGACGACGAGGACGATGACGATGGAGCTTGGACCGACGAGCAGTGGTCCTATGGTTGGGGGTGGTGGCCCGCCTGGTGTCCGGGCAGCAAGTATTAGTTATTAATGGTTTCAGCCTCAGTCAGCCTGCAGTGTGTTGGAGTTTGTTATCTGCGTGCACATGAACTCAGCTCAGGTACCGCCAGACGGAAAGGCCGAATCCTCCTGCGAAGCAGCCGCCATCGAAGCCAGCTGCCTGAGAGGCTGAATGTGAATAGGCCGTCGACCACGTGGGATTGGGAGACCAATGATTCATGATGACGTTGTTCACTGCTCACTACGGTGTCTAGGGTTTAAGTTTAGGGTTCAGGTTTAGAGTTCAAGCCGTACCCAGAAGTGGAACGTGTGGTGATCCATATCCGCACATGTCCCCTGGGTGTGGCTTCCGCCTGATTGGATAGAGCTCGTTCAAAAAAACGGTTTCGGGTTTAGGGTTTAGCCCCCCGCACGGTTCTGGTTTTCGTGATCCTGCGTGGTCCGTTTTGCCGCCCAAATTGAAGACCGAGCAGCGACTTGACGCGCGAGCTGAACAGGGCGCTTGCGACTTTATGTTAGTGGTTACTGGTGAGTGAGACAGGCAAGCTTCCCTGTGACAGGAGTACGCTGGATGGTTTTTGCCGTGTGCTGGGGGCTTACAGACTTCAAGCTGTCTTTGCTGGTCGGAATGGAT